CCCAGGGTTGGGGTGAGCAAGGACACTGGGATGGGGAAATGGGGGAGGCAGTGGGGTCCCATGTCTGGTGTGGTTAACACACACCACCCCCCCAGCCCCCTTCTGTGTGGAGCAACTGGTCATGGGGGGAATGAGTGGGCATGGGGCATCCCAAGCCCGTTCCCCTCACCCCACCCCAAAAAGTCATCATTACCTTTGGGAAGCAGCTAGACGCTGGGGCCTGCTGCCCCCTCCCCAGTTCACCCCTAAGCAGGTGCCACAGTGGGTGCCAGCGCCGTGTCCACCCACGGCCAGCGAGGAGTGCACAGGCAGTGGGTGAGCGCAGTCGCAGCACAGCCTGAGAGGGACCCCCGTCCCTGGAGCAGGGGGTTTTGGGGCCACTGTGGGTACCAGGGGGTCAGTGGCCAGGGCCACCGTGAGTGGAGGGGGGGGGGGGGTCTGCCCCCCATGGGCCAGCCATGCTGGTGGTGGGTGGCACAGCTGGGGTGTGCAAGTGGGGGTCCAGCACCCGCGTGTCCCCTGGAAATGGCACTGGAGGGGCTCAGGTCTCAGGGGGGCTTTGAGGCAAAAAGGGCTCTTCTCTTGGGGTGCATCACACCCTGAAACCCTCATCTAGCCCAAAAACCAGGACCCAGGACCAAAGCCCAGCATCAAACTCTGGAGCCCTCAGCCCAGGAAAGACATGAACCTGTTGGAGCAGGTCCAGAGGAGGCTACAAAAACGACCAGAGGGTTGGGACACCTCTCCTGTGAGGAAACGCTGAGAGCTGGGGCTGTTCAGCATGGAGAAGAGAAGGCTTTGGAGAGACCTTTCTGTGACCTTTCAGCACTTAAAGGGAGCTTAGAAGAAAGATGGGGACAAACTTTCTAGCAGGGCCTGTAGTGACAGGACAAGGGGCGATGGTTTTAAGCTAAAAGAGGGTAGATTTAGACTGGACATAAGGAAGAAATTTTTTACAATGAGGGTGGTGAAACACTGGCACAGGTTGGCCAGAGAGGTGGGAGATGCCCCATCCCTGGAAACGTTCAAGGTCAGGTTGGATGGGGCTCTGAGCAAACTGCTCTTGTTGCTCATGGAAGGGGGGTTGGACCAGATGGCCTTTAAAGGTCTCTTCCAACCCTATGATTCTGTGATTCTACAACCTGCAAAACCTATATCCCACACGCTGCCTGGATGGGGATCTGGGGGTGTCTCCATGGCAGATGCCCCCATCCTTCCTCACCACCACCGGGAATCAGGACTCCAGAAGTGATCCCCCATGATCCTTGTGACCCCAGAGACAAGCAGAAGCCGGGTCCTGCCATTCCCACCTGGGCACCCAGAGCTGCCGCAGCCCCAGCCTCCTCTGTCCCCTGGGGCCTGCTTGGCTGGGGTAGAGATGGGTGGCCGGAGCAGGGAGGTGACAACAGGTGGGTGACCCAGTGTCAGGGAGGGGATAAGAGCACAGTGGTGGGGGACGGCGCCTACCTGAAGTGGAGAGAAATGGAGGGTGCAAGTGGAGAAAGATGGAGCGTCGCGGACTAAGAGTTAAGAGCATCGATACCTGCGGGAGTGAGCACAAGGGCCTGGAGGATGTCAGAGAGGGAGATGATGCCCCGCGGGTACTGGTTCTCGTCCACCAGAACCAGGCGATGGACCTGTGGGCGCAGGCAGAGCATCTCAAGCAGGTCAGGCAGCGGGCAGGGGAGGCTGGCCCCGGCGCGAGGCCCCCCGGCCGCTCCCCTGCTCCTTGGCGATGCGATCGATGATGTCCTCCATGGTTTCGTGGGGGTAGCAGGTGAGGACCCCCTCCAGGCAGATGGTGCGCTGCCGCAGCGCTTCCCGCACACTGTGTGTTGTAGGTCTTCTGTGCTGCCAGGTGCTGCGGGAGAGGTGGCCCCGCTCAGCACCCCGACGTGTCCTCGTGCCCCGTTGTGCCAGCACAGCAGGGGACACCGAGCCGTGGGGATGCACGGGGCAGATCTGTGCCTGCACTTGCGTGTCACAGCCCAGGGGTTGGGTTGGCACGGGCAGGCTTGAGCACCCCACCAATGCCATGCAAGGGGCCACACTCGTGTCCGTGCGCGCAAACGCACACGATACTCACAATGACATCGAACCGGGAGTAGAGGCCGACCACTTGCCCTGCAAGGAGAGGCAGGCTGGGGAGAGGGCCCTGGGGACCACCTGCCGTGATCCCTCTGCAGCCCAAGGGGCAGCCTAAGGGCTATGAGGGGCTTTTTGGGTGGGGATGGGGCCGGGGCCACTAGCAGAGGGAGCTGGGGGGACACTGGACCCCTCCTCAGGTACCGGCATCGTTGATGACAGGCAGGGCAGAGACACGGCGGTCCACAAAGATCTCCAGGGCAGTGTAGACAGGGGCTGTCTCGGGCACGACAGCCACGTCGCGGAAGGTGCCGATACACAGCTCCTGCACCGTTTTCTTCAGGAAGCGTGGCTTGGGGATGGTGGAGCCCTGCAGCGGGGCAGGGCAGAGCTGGGCTGGCACCTACGCACACACTGACACCCTTGTTCGTGCCCCCACACACCCACCATGCACGCGCAGCCCTGGCACTCACGAAGATGTGGAGGAACTTGAGGATGCGCTTGTGCGTCAGGATGTGCAGGACGTTGCCCGAGATGGGCTCGATGACAGGCAGGCGGTGGATCTTGTGCTTGATCAGGGAGTAGACGGCGTCGAAGAGGCTGTGGGTGATGGGGACATCGTGGGGGGGGGTATGGCTGCATCCCGGGCACACCCCCAGCAGGCAGGCACTCACCTATTGCTCGGGGAGATGCAGACCAGCGGCTTGAAGGAGCCCTGCAGGGACACCTCTGCCAAGGGGGAGAGGCGGGGGGGGGGGGGACCGCAGCCCCGCACCCCCAGAGCCCACCTACATGCCCGGCACCGCATCCCCAGCCCAGCCACCTCCACAGCCCCCTACTTTTTACCTCTCCAGGTCTCGATCTTGTGCTCCTCCACCTCGTAGATCTGAACCTGAGGGCAGGGAGATGCCCTGGTCACGGTGGCCCCACGGGGGACTGAGGGGACTCTGGGGCACTGCCCCCTTCCCCAGGCATCCCACCCCATCCCCCTAAGTGCAAGGATCACACCTTGGGTGCTGGGCAGAGGGGCACCAAGCGGACTCTGGACTGGCCCAGAGGGTCCCCTGGTCATGGTCTAGTGATGAAGAGGGGAAAAGAAGAGGTGGGGACAGCCCCTCCCTGTCCCATGCCTGCCCTGACCCCCACCCGTGCCCTCCCTGCCGCCCTCACCAGGGGCGAGCGGTAGTAGCGGGGGGGGATGTTGATG